AATTCCACATTTTTGTTAAGGGGATTCTTCATTTGATCTTCTTTTAAAATTTCCTCTTCCTCTTCATCTTGAATTTCTTCCTCGTCCTCTGCCCCATCCTCTTTCAAATCTTCCTCCTCTAAAAGATTCACTTTTACATTGATTGGAACTCGATGATTCGTGACTTTTGTAGTCAACATTAAGCTTGGATTGAAAAGTATTCTCAATAGATATTTCGGCATGTCTACTCAACCTTTGCTCAAATGTTTTAATAGAACTCAATAAATCTTGAATGCCCAAAGAATAAATATTTTTTGTTTCTTCAATGACTGAACCAATAGAATCATGTTTTTTTGGCAAACTAATCAAAATTTTCTCAACAATTCTTGAGTTCAAAATTTGGTCTCCGTAAGTTTTCCTTTGATTTACAATCTCCATAAATCTAGAGAAGAAATCATTTAAGGANCGGAACCAATAGAATCATATTTTTTTGGCAAACTAATCAAAATTTTCTCAACAATTCTTGAGTTCAAAATTTGGTCTCCATAAGTTTTCCTTTGATTTACAATCTCCATAAATCTAGAGAAGAAATCATTTAAGGATTCATTCTATTTAATTCTACTATTCTCAAAATCTCTTCCCAAGGGTTGTAGTTCACAGCTCTTACCTTCATAGTACCATGATACTCATCCTATTAATTGTCCCGTGCTACCTTTGATTTTGTAGTATTGATAATTCCTAGAAAAATGAAATCCGTTACTTCTTGTTGAATCAAATGAAGAGTTTTTGCATCCTTCTTCTTGTTTTCCTTTAATTAGTTACTTTGAGTCATTGTCATCTCTTCGGTTGGATCTTCGTATCCAATTTCAATCAAATCCCAAAGATCATAAGAGATAAATATAGTTTTCATCTTTACACACCAATAATTATAATTTTCACCATTAAAGACAGGAAAAAACGGTTGTTGTGCACCGGGAAACATGTTGATTCCACTTTCCATTTTGATCTTCTTCACTAGGACTTTGTTTATCCGTCGAAAAGTTTCACGTCCAGATAGTTAGTGTCGAACTAGTTCTAATACCACTTATGTTGACTATAATTTTAGCTTTTGTATATTTGTGATAGATAAAACAAAGACAATGTAACTTAGTCTTTTGAATTAAGTTTTCGTACATGCCTTCCATATTTTCAATATGCATATAGGTTGCAAGATACATCTTGACCACTCACTTTCCTAGAACATTAACCAGATAAAAGGACCCAAGACTAAATCACTTCTTTTCTCAAGTCAATTAGATACACTTAACAATTAAGTATTATCTAATATGCTATTTTTAACAGCATAAAAAAGAAACATGCACCTCTCAATGGGGTACATCCATCTAAACTGCATTATTCCAACCACAGTAAGAAAAAAGAAAATTGCCAACTAACAAGGCTTCATGTCATGCCAACTAACATGCCGCTAAGCCTACATAGAAAAAAGGATGGCTAACCACCCATCTAAGACAAGCGTATTCTTTATACAATTAATTTCATATAATATCCCAAGAACAATCACATAACTTTGATATTTAACAGATTCACTCACCTTCAAAAATTCTCACCAATACATTATAATTTAGTCCTACAAAGGATATGAAATCACATGTGCATTCCAATGTTGCCAGCCAACTGGGCAACATCCAGAGGCAACATCAATACTTATTGGCATCAGGAAAAGTCGCATAAAAAAATTAATTGTGGCACGGCAAATGTACCGTTGCAAAAAAAAAAAAAAAAACCATAAATTTTGCAGTAAGCTTGTTTGCCCCCTTGTATCTCGCATTTATGAACGCTAGTCATGCGACTCTAGCTATACAACTACCATAGTGACCTTTTGTTGAGGAAGAATGTGATCCACTGTTGTTTTAGGAGTTAAAATAAATACGAGGGTTGTTCAATTTAGAGACAGCCTTTGATTGGGAAGCTTGGAACCTTTGGGGCAGCCCATTCCCTTGTGACATCATTTTTACCCAGTGGAGGACGGTTTATCTTGCTTAAGCATGGTGTTTCCTCGATGCCTATACACCTTCCAAGGATTATAGCTCCGAAGGAAGTAAACCAGTTCAAAAAAAAGTTTGCTAACTTCTGGTGGGGCGGTCATAAAGACAAAGAGGAGCAACTGCCTTAGTAGGAGGTTCCTCCAATGACATTCTTCAATCTTGGACAAGTCAAGAATCTTCTCTCTCAAACATGGGTGTCGAGAGAACGACTAATCCAATTTTTGAATCCAACAAGAAGTACAACCAGTATGGGAGTGAAAAAGCTTTCCTCACAAGAGCTAATGTTAAAAGTGCTAATGACTGATGGAAAAAGTATATTTGCGACGACATTTTCCATTGCAAAATATGAAACAGATTTCACAAAACAAAATTTATAAAACATTTGTTGATTTTTTGGATATTATAATTTTCACCCTTGATATTACTACTAAATGCATGAAATAAAAATTGCTCACATCTATTAAAATCTCTCTCTACCCTATTTATGCACAGGTCTGGAGCCCTATGTAACTCTTTTTCACTGGGATCTTCCCCAAGCCTTAGAAGATGAATATGGTGGCTTCTTAAGCCCCCAAATTGTGTACGTTTTTCAATTTTGGCCTTATGATCTATAAGCCTATGCTATCAAGTCATGAATGTTTTTACCTCAAGTTATTGTGAAGTTGTTACGTGCTTTAACTTTCTGTGCATGAATAACTTGATGTTCAATTGTAATATATGGTACACTAATTGGACACTAGATTGGTTTAAAGGGGCGCGATGTTTATTTGTGTTCTCGTTTGGGCATGGTGCGTNTATTAATTGTCCCGTGCTACCTTTGATTTTGTAGTATTGATAATTCCTAGAAAAATGAAATCCGTTACTTCTTGTTGAATCAAATGAAGAGTTTTTGCATCCTTCTTCTTGTTTTCCTTTAATTAGTTACTTTGAGTNTGTTAATTGTCCCATGCTACCTTTGATTTTGTAGTATTGATAATTCCTAGAAAAATGAAATTCGTTACTTCTTGTTGAATTAAATGAAGAGTTTTTGCATCCTTCTTCTTGTTTTCCTTTAATTAGTTACTTTGAGTNTGAAGGGGCGCGATGCTTATTTGTGTTCTCGTTTGGGCATGGTGCGTCTAGCCATTTACCTCCAAACCAACCAGCTTGTACTCATTATGGTCGGATTTTATGAATAAACGTTTACAACTCATTAATCTTGGCATAAGATTGTTTAAATATGACCCAAATCTCTTTTCATTCATTAATTATTAAGTTTTTAATATTATTTTCCAACTACTTGAATTGATTNGTCATTGTCATCTCTTCGGTTGGATCTTCGTATCCAATTTCAATCAAATCCCAAAGATCATAAGAGATAAATATAGTTTTCATCTTTACACACCAATAATTATAATTTTCACCATTAAAGACAGGAAAAAACGGTTGTTGTGCACCGGGAAACATGTTGATTCCACTTTCCATTTTGATCTTCTTCACTAGGACTTTGTTTATCCGTCGAAAAGTTTCACGTCCAGATAGTTAGTGTCGAACTNAGACGGTTGTTGTGCACCGGGAAACATGTTGATTCCACTTTTCATTTTGATCTTCTTCACTAGGACTTTGTTTATCTGTCGAAAAGTTTCACATCCAGATAGTTAGTGTCGAACTAGTTCTAATACCACTTATGTTGACTATAATTTTAGCTTTTGTATATTTGTGATAGATAAAACAAAGACAATGTAACTTAGTCTTTTGAATTAAGTTTTCGTACATGCCTTCCATATTTTCAATATGCATATAGGTTGCAAGATACATCTTGACCACTCACTTTCCTAGAACATTAACCAGATAAAAGGACCCAAGACTAAATCACTTCTTTTCTCAAGTCAATTAGATACACTTAACAATTAAGTATTATCTAATATGCTATTTTTAACAGCATAAAAAAGAAACATGCACCTCTCAATGGGGTACATCCATCTAAACTGCATTATTCCAACCACAGTAAGAAAAAAGAAAATTGCCAACTAACAAGGCTTCATGTCATGCCAACTAACATGCCGCTAAGCCTACATAGAAAAAAGGATGGCTAACCACCCATCTAAGACAAGCGTATTCTTTATACAATTAATTTCATATAATATCCCAAGAACAATCACATAACTTTGATATTTAACAGATTCACTCACCTTCAAAAATACATTATAATTTAGTCCTACAAAGGATATGAAATCACATGTGCATTCCAATGTNAGCCACCCATCTAAGACAAGCGTATTCTTTATACAATTAATTTCATATAATATCCCAAGAACAATAACATAACTTTGATATTTAACAGATTCACTCACCTTCAAAAATTCTCACCAATACATTATAATTTAGTCCTACAAAGGATATGAAATCACATGTGCATTCCAATGTTGCCAGCCAACTGGGCAACATCCAGAGGCAACATCAATACTTATTGGCATCAGGAAAAGTCGCATAAAAAAATTAATTGTGGCACGGCAAATGTACCGTTGCAAAAAAAAAAAAAAACCATAAATTTTTGCAGTAAGCTTGTTTGCCCCCTTGTATCTCGCATTTATGAACGCTAGTCATGCGACTCTAGCTATACAACTACCATAGTGACCTTTTGTTGAGGAAGAATGTGATCCACTGTTGTTTTAGGAGTTAAAATAAATACGAGGGTTGTTCAATTTAGAGACAGCCTTTGATTGGGAAGCTTGGAACCTTTGGGGCAGCCCATTCCCTTGTGACATCATTTTTACCCAGTGGAGGACGGTTTATATTGCTTAAGCATGGTGTTTCCTCGATGCCTATACACCTTCCAAGGATTATAGCTCCGAAGGAAGTAAACCAGTTCAAAAAAAAGTTTGCTAACTTCTGGTGGGGCGGTCATAAAGACAAAGAGGAGCAACTTCCTTAGTAGGAGGTTCCTCCAATGACATTCTTCAATCTTGGACAAGTCAAGAATCTTCTCTCTCAAACATGGGTGTCGAGAGAACGACTAATCCAATTTTTGAATCCAACAAGAAGTACAACCAGTATGGGAGTGAAAAAGCTTTCCTCACAAGAGCTAATGTTAAAAGTGCTAATGACTGATGGAAAAAGTATATTTGCGACGACATTTTCCATTGCAAAATATGAAACAGATTTCACAAAACAAAATTTATAAAACATTTGTTGATTTTTTGGATATTATAATTTTCACCCTTGATATTACTACTAAATGCATGAAATAAAAATTGCTCACATCTATTAAAATCTCTCTCTACCCTATTTATGCACAGGTCTGGAGCCCTATGTAACTCTTTTTCACTGGGATCTTCCCCAAGCCTTAGAAAATGAATATGGTGGCTTCTTAAGCCCCCAAATTGTGTACGTTTTTCAATTTTGGCCTTATGATCTCTAAGCCTGTGCTATCAAGTCATGAATGTTTTTACCTCAAGTTATTGTGAAGTTGTTACGTGCTTTAACTTTCTGTGCATGAATAACTTGATGTTCAATTGTAATATATGGTACACTAATTGGACACTAGATTGGTTTAAAGGGGCGCGATGTTTATTTGTGTTCTCGTTTGGGCATGGTGCGTCTAGCCATTTTCCTCCAAACCAACCAGCTAGTACTCATTATGGTCGGATTTTATGAATAAACGTTTACAACTCATTAATTTTGGCATAAGATTGTTTAAATATGACCCAAATCTCTTTTCATTCATTAATTATTAAGTTTTTAATATTATTTTCCAACTACTTGAATTGATTTTAAATTGCGCCAAATCGAATTAACATTATTTTTGGCAGAAACTATCCACATGTGACTAGATTTTGAGACAGATTGAAACAAAATCGCATAATTTTGAGACAGAGTAATAGAAGAATCTATTCAATTTGTATCAAACATTTGCAAATAGTGTAATATGAACTAATAATTGCAGTTAAAGGTGCAATGTGAGAAGTACGACAATTGAGATGTAACTCAACACGGGCATAGTTGAGTCTGTCAATAATTTTCCATGTTAAGATATTTCTTGCACAAATAAGAATTGCAAAACACTTCAAATAATTTTGGAATTCTTTACAGGGATGATTACCGTGACTATGCTGAGCTTTGCTTTGAAAGATTTGGTGACTGGGTAAAGTATTGGATCACTCTAAATGAGCCTTGGAGCTACAGCACCGGTGGTTATGCAACCGGCAACTTCGCCCCCGGACGGTGTTCTTCTTGGCAACAACTAAATTGTAGTGGTGGAGATTCTGGCGTAGAGCCATATCTGGTGACGCACCACCAGCTTCTTGCTCATTCGGCTGCCGTAAAATTGTACAAGGACAAGTATCAGGTGATATTTTAGAACCCTAGATTTATTATGTATTTTTTGATAATACTTTTTAAAAAAAACATTTTTTAATTACTATTTTGTTACGACAATCTAAATGTATTTTATTGTAGAAATATTTATATACATCTACGAACACACACACACACTCTTATGTACATATATGTGATTAAAATTGGAGAAAAAGAGTAAACCCAGAGATTTGGTAGTGTTGATATAAAGTTCAATCCAATTAACCAAATGTAATGTGCGTGTAGGCTTCACAGAATGGAAAGATTGGGATTACACTCTCGACAAATTGGATGGTTCCTTTCTCCAATGAGACCATCCACCGTGATGCTGTGGTACGAGCCCTCGATTTCCACTTTGGCTGGTGAGTGTTACAAGTTTTGTCCATAATTTGTTTCCTATATAGTCAATGTGAATAATTGGATCAGCGAGCTCCTACAGAAATAATTAATAGGTCCTAATGATCTAATTATTCACATTAATTTAGTAAAAATTATTCACTTTTTTGCTAAGCATAGTAATAGTCATAGTGAACAACAAACGTAACCACTTCATGAATTCCTTAATTATACTCAATGAGGGTGTGTTTGTTAATCTAAATTCAATACTTAAAATGAATGTATTCAACACTTATTAATTAAACCTTTTTAATAACCAAAATTTAAACTCTCTTAATATGTTAAGTGCTTTTTAAAAATAGGCTATAATATTAAGTAAGAGATCACTTAATTCTGAAAGTTGAAAGCGTTCAGCAAAACCTCTTTAATAATATTTAAAATATGACAATTACGCTCCGAAATATTTTACAATCCTATTAAAATTCTAATTAGTGTTCTCTCTTAAATCCCTAACCTATCTGTACTCCTAGCTGATCGTCTTCTTCAGCGGATAACAGGTAATTTTTTTCCTTGTCTTTTTTTTTTTCTTTCCTCCTTTGTCTTGTCCAACAAAAAAATAAATATATAATAACACACATACGTAGTTTCACACACACACACACACACACACATGTTTTTTATTTAATATAAACATATTTTCTAAATATTTTCAAATTAAAGAGTAGAGGGATATAACTGAAATTAATTTATTTTCAAATGTCAGCTCTGTGTAGTTTTCAAACAGTGTGATTCAATTCAGTATTTAAATTTCAGTGGGTACCAAACAGTCTACAAATTTAGACTTTAACTTTCAGTTTTTATCACCACCTGACATAGGCTATTAACCTGCTTTAAATCATACACCCAAGTATAAGTAGTAAAATTGTAGTGTTACTCTGTTAAGTTTGAGGTCGAACCCATATGGAGCTATTTGTTTGAATTCAAAATAAAAAGCTAAGATTATCATGCATGTAGTGTGTCTTACAAAAATTTANTTAGTACTTAAATTTCAGTGGGTACCAAACAGTCTACAAATTTAGACTTCAACTTTCAGTTTTTATCACCACCTGACATAGGCTATTAACCTGCTTTAAATCATACACCCAAGTATAAGTAGTGAAATTGTAGTGTTACTCGGTTAAGTTTGAGGTCGAACCCATATGGAGCTATTTGTTTGAATTCAAAATAAAAAGCTAAGATTATCATGCATGTAGTGTGCCTTACAAAAACTTATGGTGTAAACTTAGAATTATCAAATAAATACTTAAATTAAACTTTTGATAATAACAAAACTATATCACAGCAGCAGATTAGGTTAGGCAGAGGTCAATGTACTATACAACAATCAAATAACACTAGTGAACCCCAAGGTGGATCATTTAAAAGGTAATAATTCAATAAAGATGGAGTTCCGTTTTATGCATTGAATCAAAAGCATTGGTTATGACAAGATTGAACCCGTTTATAACCAATCTCCTGATTGTTACATAAAACCTAACTACCTGCGTTATTATATCATGCATGAAGTACATAATAACTTATAGATAGAATGGTATTAGCATACAGTAATATGACACCAAACAAAAATAATAATAATCATCCATCAACTGAGGTATAAACATTAACGTATAGATAAAACATTGACATTTTCATAACACAAATAATATTATACATATATTCACCCTTCACTAAAGATTATAAATGGACTACTCACACTTCAATGCTATAGACGAGCAAGAAATGTGAGATAATCTCATTACAATGTAATACAAATACAAAACAAACACAAGTGATCCTTCCTCGAGGATAGTCGAAACACCATCAGTCTTATTACCGGGTAAGGCACAAAGTGGGAGAGATTCAACCCTCAAAGTAAAAAAGATATAAAAAAGGAGAGTTTTTGGCTTAAGGAGTGTTTACGGTAGGATTTCTTTTTANTATAAAAAAAGAGAGTTTTTGGCTTAAGGAGTGTTCATGGTAGGGTTTCTTCTTCCCTGGCTCTTACTTCCCTTCTCTAGCGAAGGCCCCTTTCAAATGGCTAAGGTAGGCTATTTATAGGCTGCGGGAATGAGCTCCAAGGGTGACAGACACCCAAGCTGGCCAATCTCATTCCTCCTTCGCCTTTTTAGACCAATGGGACGAGAGAAAGCTTAAAGGCGATTTAGCTATTATCTGAACGTCATAATCGTTCGAACAGTGCTAAATAGTGCTAAACGTATGGTTTTTCTGCAAGCAGCCTCCCTTTGTTGACTTGGTTGACTTCCTGGGTTGGGACGGTGATCCTTATGCTGATTTTATGCTTTTCACCCTTTCTTGTTTGACTTTTCACACTTCCATCCTTCTAAGTTCTGATAATTATACATAAAACCCTACAAAATATACAAATTAAACATAAGTTATAATATTATTCAAATTAATTATTTTAATTCAATTAACGTATATTATTAACCTTAAACCCTAATTCAATTCTGCACTTTTTAGGATTAATTACAACCCAACTAAATATTACTTGTCCCTTGTAATAAAAACAAATAAAATTACGTTTGTAGACTTCACGATTGCATTTAGCATATTCAACAAGCTGTTAAACTCCTAGATGATCCCTAGTGATTGAGTTTTGTCTCGTAAAGGTACCTATAAACTTCAACAGTTAAGATAAAATAATTCATATTTTTACATATAAAATTAAATCAGCATTCTCTCTTTTTGACAAAATATTCCTTTTCTAATCACTATAATAGGAACACACAAAAATTATAACACTATTTGTAATATTTTCAAAAAAACTCACGTGTATGTGCAGGGATTTCTTTATTCAAAAAACACTTAAGAAATATCCCAATTCTTCACTACATCTAATTTTCCAAAAGATTATTTGAAATAAAATTAGAATTTGGCATAATCTCATGAAATAATATTAACACTTTATAACAACATTATCAACACTCTCTTTTTTAATGAATGAATGAAAATGATACACATGCATGACTTTTGAAATAAAAAAAGATTTTATTAGGGTTATAACGAGACTAAAGATATTGGGTTTAAGAAACGACATTTAAGGAAGTCAAAAGTTATCCTTTTTAATTTGGGTAGCAGACACTCCCTTTTAACTTTCCTGGTTCTTACAGAACAACATTATACTTTCCATTCTTCATTTTTATTCTTAGGTTTGTAATTTTTTGGCTATTTTCTTTTTATTTTCTATTTCTTTATTTCTTTCACAAATTCTTTTCCTTTCTTTTCTTTTTCTTTCTTTTCCAACCATATTTCTCTATTTTTCTTTTTTCTTTTTTTTCAATGCCTTTTTCAAAAGAGGATACAAGAAAATTAGATAACGAGAGTTAGACAAATATACTTGCATTGGCTTGGTTAACTTTTAGGTTTAAGAAAAAAAAAAGTTAATTAGGCTCAATCACAGCTTGCTAGGGATATAGTTTTGTTAAAAAAAAATCACTAAGACTCAAAGTAAAATCACAAATGACCTTAAGATCATTTTCCATAACTCATAAAGATTTAAAGGAGAAAGTTAATCATGTCATTCAATGAGTGCTAATCAAAGAAAGATTAATGAGATTACTCAAAAAAAAATCGTCAAAATGAAATTAATACTTGAGTAATTGTTAAAAATCTCTCCAAGAAAAAAGATTAGCTTAAAATCAACATAGGGTTTCACATCTCCACTATATATGTAAGCTTCATAAAGAATGATAGTATTTCAAATGGTTTTTCAAAATAAAAAATTATTACGTGCTCAAAATAATGAGTTTTCTATGAAAATATAAAGATAGTGTACAAATAGTGTGTGAAAATCCTTTGTGATTTGGTTAGAGTTATACCTGCAAATTAACAGAATGACAATATCATTTTATCATGAATAATAAGAACTAATTATCTTAACATAGCAAAAATCATATGAAATATCACTATCAAATAAACAACTAAAATAAAACCATAATTCAAACATAAAAAACATCCAAAAGTACTTAAAACCAAGTGCATAATAATCTAAAATGCAAATAAAGAGTTTGATATAAGTAAAGAGAGAATAAAAGATGCAACACTCTGGATGGCTAGGCTGATGATGATGGACCACCTCCGTATCTCCTACCAAGCAGCTTTAGAATCTCGTTCTTGGTCATTCTTTTGATCAAATTAGGTCATCCTAGTCTCTAGACCTAACAAAATCTTTGTCCGATCATCAACTAGAATGTAGGGCTGCTGCACTTCCTATTGTTGGGGCTCCTCTATTTGCTGAAAATCTACTACTTCTAGGAATGTGGCTGCTTGTGGTTCTGGTGGTGAGCCTCTGCTTGAACTCCATGGCTCTTTTTCAATGAAATTTTATCCAAGGGAGCCAAATGCTCCACTAGAGGCCATGATGGATCCCCTGTCACTCCTTTCAATCTACATAATTCAGATACTAAAATAACAAAAGAAAGTGAGGCCTTCCTCTTTTTAACTATCAACATTATTTGATTTATTATCAGTGTCGACAAGTCAATTGTGTATCCCATTCCAAAAGAATACAGAAAATAAGCTTTTTTCAGTTTAGATTTGATTTTTCTGAGACTGGGGCAGCAATTTGTTTATAGTTATCAAAAAATGAGAGGAATCAATAGCCTTGCGCTGGTACAGATCAAAAAAATGAAAACCACGTTGATTATCATACTACTTGAGAAAAATACAAAGACATGTGAGAGGTGAGAGCTTATGTGTTGTAGTGGAAGTGACTCTAGGGAAAAAAAAGAGAAAAAAAAAAAAAAAAAAAAAAAGCACACTTAGAAACCTATGATTATGTATAAGACAGAGCTACCCTTAAGGTGTTTGAAAGGAGATAAGGATTTTTGAGATGGGATTTAGAAAGACAGTTTAACGTAAGGAGTCACATGTAAGGCTTCCACCCAAAACTTCTAAGGAAGGGAGGCTTNGGTCATTCTTTTGATCAAATTAGGTCATCCTAGTCTCTAGACCTAACAAAATCTTTGTCCGATCATCAACTAGAATGTAGGGCTGCTGCACTTCCTATTGTTGGGGCTCCTCTATTTGCTGAAAATCTACTACTTCTAGGAATGTGGCTGCTTGTGGTTCTGGTGGTGAGCCTNTGAAACAAATGGGTGTGCACCATGTTGAGAATGGTGCGATGCATACGTTCGGCGGCTAGGACAAGATAACCGTAAATGGATCTCACATGATTCAAGATAAGATTTAAATGAATTATAAACATATTCACAGCCATTATCACACTGGACACCTGGAATCATGATTTGAGATTGTGTCACAAAGAATTTATGAATAATTTGAACTTGTTAAAGACATCCAATTCGCAATGAAGGGGAAAGACCCAACAAAAATGAGGGTAATCATCCATCAACAACAAATAATAACGAAAAGAAATTAAGGCAAATGCATGAGCATAATGAACATGATTTTCATCATGAGCGGAACATGATTTCGTTCTTCTTATTCTTTTGCTTTAATATATTTTGATCTTTCGACCTCATCAGTCTCTTCTTTTACTGGTTTTTTTCTTATCTATTGTTGATGGATGATTATTCTCATTTTGATTGGGTGTTTTCCCATTCATCTCAAATTGAAAGTCTTTGATAAGTTCAAATTATTCCACAAATTCATTGCGACATAATTTCATATCTCGATTCAAGGCTTCCAAGGTGATAATGGCCTTGAATATGTCAATAATTTATTTTTAAATCCTATCTTGAATCATGTGGGATCCATTTACAATTATATTGTCCTCATACACATAAAAAATATGGGGTTGTAGAATGCTTGCATGCACCNCTTGAATATGTCAATAATTTATTTTTAAATCCTATCTTGAATCATGTGGGATCCATTTACAGTTATATTGTCCTCATACACATAAAAAATATGGGGTTGTAGAATGCTTGCATGCACCATTCTTAACATGGTTCGCACCTTTTTGTTTCAAGGCTCCCTTCCTTCGGAATTTTGGGTGGAAGCCTTACATGTGGCTCTTTACATCTTAAGCCATCTACCTAAATACAACCTCAGAAGTCTCTCTCCCTTTGAACTCCTTTATTGGTACTCATCTTATAAGGAATTTGAGTTTTTCGGTTTTGCTTGATTTTCTAGCATCACTTCCACTACATCACATAAGCTCTTGCCTCGCTCAACTCTAATAATCATTGCGTTTTTCGTTGCTTTTATCCCTACCAGTGCAGGGTTATTATTTCCCGTAATGTGCGCTTTGATTAGCACCCTTTTCCTTATCCTTTCTTATTTGTTGAGCAGCCCTACTCTCCCAGTCCATCTCTTCTTTTGTTTTGGCCAACAAAAAAGATTTTCCCAAATCTTACTTCACTTCAAAACCCAGGTCTCCTCCTCCTCCTCCTACATCTCTTATCCGAACCCACCTAGTGATCCTCTATCCATTCCATATCAAACTTATGTCACCAGTCAGCATGCAACATCTTTGTCTCCTACTTTTGCTCACCCAAATGGTATATCTGCTAATCTCGGTCTCTTTTCATCTGTTATTCCCACTCAACCACTTGATCAAAAACTCGGTTGATGATCATTTGATTTGAATTGTGATGTTGCTACGGTTTTATTTGTGGTTGTGCAATTTTGAAATAGTAGGGTTATTATTATGGGGATGAGGATGTAAGCAATTTTGTAGTGGTGATAGATATGTGTAGGTCATTCAAATAAAGAAGGAGAACAGGAAATCAGCTGAGAAGATTGTGAGGGTATAAAGGTGTTTTTATTGTCACCTTTAATAAGAGGACTATAGGGTTATTTTTTAAACGTAGGTGGTACGAGGCCAAACCAAAGAGGTAAAGTAACATCTCCCCAAAGAATTTCTCAAACACTTAGAATTCACCATACCAATTATAAATGATCATCTCACCTATCTATTTCGTACTAGATTTTTGGGAGAGGTGGATCACCACTATATCCTACTTACAGGCTAATAAGCATTTGTGCATATATGGGTTTCTTATACTCTACAAAAATGTCTTGGTCCTCCCATATGCCTATAGTACAAGAAACTTTATTGCTCTTTTAAAGCTGTGAATTTTCATACATAGTAATTCCCAACTTTGATTTTCATTATCCATGACAGGTTTATGAATCCATTAACATTTGGTGACTATCCGTATGCCATGCGATCTCTTGTTGGAAATCGACTTCCCAAATTCTCTGCAGAAGAATCGAACATGCTTAAGGGCTCGTTTGATTTTCTTGGGTTGAATTACTATACTTCAAACTATGTGGTACATGCTCCTGAATCCAATATTATTAATGTGAGCTACATAACAGATTCTCAAACTAATCTCACATGTAAGTTCAAATTCAACTTGATGTTCTCAGTTCATAAATACAGTTTACACCAATTTACTTAAACATTTTTTGTGCTAGATGAGAGGAATGGGGTGCCTATTGGTCCAAAGGTATGCATATAAATTATGTCTGTTTTCTGAATAGTTGTTTAAGTTAAACACTTTTTTGTTAACTCTTTCTATAAGTTTATTTCTTTTTTGTTAACTCTTTCTATAATTGCATACACAACAATATGCATACCTATCTACTAATATAACAAACAAATTAATGAGTGAGGGCCTTTAGAAGCCTCCCCCCCCCCCCCCCTCC